AACAAAACCTTAGCCAGAAGCTAAACTAACCCAACGAGTTCTAGGAACTCCTAATAAGTCATCAACTAAAACAGAACCAAGCCAGCTTGGAGCAGCATCAAGCACACACAACCCAAGATCAAGGTTATGGCTCCATTTAGCCAAACAATCCGCCACAGCATTCCTTTCCCTGTATATGTGGCTCACAGAACAAACACCAATTTGTCTCACCATTGCACAACAGCTAGCAATCAAGGAAGCTAGAGGATGGGAGCCAAGCCTAGAATGCTGCTGAACTAGGAGGACAGCCGTAGCAGCATCCATTTCCACAGAAAGCCTACGAATGCCTTTAGCAATAGCAATTTGCAAGCCAAAAAACAAGCCCCAAACTTCAGCTTCCAGAATCTGCCCCTTACCAAGGTTCACAGCAAACCCACTGACCCAATCCCCTAAGGAATTACGAATCACTCCTCCAGCACCAATAGAGCCTGAAGCACACCTTCTAGACCCGTCCACATTAAGCTTAAACTGACCCAGCTCAGGAGGTTCCCAAATAAGCAAAAGTGGCATTTTTAACGTAGCTTAAACCTAGCCCAGGGAGCTGATCTAAGCATAGAAAACATGTCTAGACCTGAGGCATCACTTTAGTATAATTCACTATCATTCTTTATAAAACATGTGAAGCCTTGCTTATCCATTGCCAGCTTATCCATTTTTACCAAGTAATAAATTTCATGTGAAATTTTTGTGCAAAGTTTGTGGAAAGCATCTACTTATTGCAAAGTGTGTTGTGATTACGTGCAAGCATTTGTGTTCCATATGCATTATGCAGCACCTTATTTTATATCACAACACCTTTTTTTTTGTTCTTGCATTTTTTTACAGATACATAATAATGCACGTATGCATTTGTGTATGTGAATTTTGGTACACTTGGTGGTCTATTGCTGTAATTATGTTATGACATAAATGACTTCATTTATTTGCAATTTAATTATATGTTTCCTGTTACTCAGTTAAATTATCATATAAAGTGATGCTCGACATTCCAACAGAGAAAACATGTCTCACATATGCTGGAATCCACTTGGAGCATCTTTAATGCGAGATGTTATTTCTAGCCGTTAAACGTCTATGTGGCATTTTTGACATATCATTTGGAGATGCTCTTATCTCGCAAATCATAAATTGAACTTAATCATGGATGGTAATTCAATCCACTTTCTTAAGAGTCAATTTTGAAGTATTGTAGAATGTGTTGAGCAAATGTTTTTGGCCTTTTCTAAATTATAGTTTGGATGTGGAAACCACTTTCTTTTTTTGTGCGAATAGACATTCACCTTCCAAGTTTCCATCTCATAATCCCATATCCTTGGTGAAATGAAATGGTTCGTCAAAACATTTGTCCTTTTATCTTTCAGGGCAGTGGTTGAGTAAGATCAGAGAATTCAAGTAAAGCCAATTTAAGGGAAAATCTTATACTAAAAGGATTAAGAATTTTTTTAAACATGTTATTTCGTTAAGTGGCCAGAGAAAGATGGGAAGCATGGAAACAAAAGGGAGGAAAAGATGAACTATAGATTGAAATTCCATATTATACAACGAAGAGTTGGGTATTATGAGAGCAGGACACCATACCACATATTATTATACAAGTACAGAAAACTAACTTAATAAATGACATACAGAAAGAAACTAAACAACTTATCTTTAAGCAAACTAAAAGATTTTGTTCTACTTTCCACAACGAAAATCTGACCATCTCAATGCTCTCAATGCTGGGGAGTGAGAGACGGAAACGAAGGGATGGATTGTAAAATTAATTTCCTACCAGTCCTTCGACCAGGTGATGGCCCAAAGTCACTATTAGGAGGGCACACCCTCTTACTATTGGGAGAAGCAGTCTTGACGCCGGTGCTAGGAGATCCATCTCCTTGAAGAATCTCCGGCATTTCATCCTCTGGAACAGTTTGGCTATGTCTCTCAAACTTGGATTCGGGTCGCAGAATATTTGGTTTTCCGAGTTTCTGGCTTGTATACAATCCAGAAGAGGATCCTCCAATGCTAAAAACAGAAGAGCGCGGCGGTTTGTTCTTTGATGAAAATGGCAGTGAAACCATTTGTCTGGAACACAAATTGTATCATTAGAGTTGTAATAACAATGAAACATCAACTTCTCAACCCACAAATAGTTTAAGAATTAAACCTGGAAAGCCGTAAAGGCGTTGTGGGAAGAGCAGAATCCGGGCGCTGCTCTTCATTTTTCTGAATTTCAATTTTCTGTTGATGTTTCTCAGCCACACTCTTTTCACATGCTTCTGCTTCTTCCTCATCTAGCTCAGCTTCTGTTCCTATAAAAGATCCTGAATTCCAAAAGAATAAGGAGCAAATGTAAAGATAATCAGCAAGCACACTTGAAGAACTTCATAGGAACAAATGTAAAGATGATAAGAAATCAAAGGCATGCCAAGCATAGCACTTCACTCACCATCCTTTCTACCAAATGCGTTTTTACAGCCTTCACATCTGCAGCTAATAGAGCATCCAACACCGCCCTGTAAAAGAAAACCAAATGTTAATAAGATTGAATAGGATTTTATAAGCAAACAGAATATGCTGAGGGGAAAACCTGATAGCATTCACAGTATTTTTTCAGGCAGCTTGATTTCTTGCAGTTGCATCCTCTTTTATGTCGTGCAGAAGCTGGGGTCTTGCTGGATTCCTCCTGCTAGTGAAAACAACTTTTACAGGTTAGATTGCAGTTCAACTAGCAAAAAGAACAGAGAAGAGTTTACTTATTTTCTAACCCCAAGTTCAGGAACAGAATCAGAGCTCCTAATCACTTTCGGAGCAAATGCAAGTGGGTTGCGAGACTCAATCTGTTTACGAGTTGCAAGAACAGTATCTTCATGGATAGGCTTGTTGAAGCATTCTTGACATGAACATGGTTCTATGCAGTAGACACCAGCAGCAAAGCATTCGCAGTAACTACATGAATAGTATCACGAGTCAAATAATAAACTCAAGGACTTCTAATGGACTAATCAACCAGATGCATATATCTCAATGCAAGCGACGTAACAAAAATTTTAGGCTTCACTAAACGGGAGATGAACCTACAGTTTCAAACACTTCGATTTTTTACAGTTACAACGTTTGCAAGACTCGGTTTCTCCAGCATGTTCAAACCTGCGCCTGCAAATCCAATGAAAATTATGAGATGATAGATAAATATACAAAAAATCTAACCAATTACATGAAAAATGAAAATCAACATGACAACAATTTAATGGAGAATATCTAGTCAACAGCACATGCCTCTTCTTTTTGGGGCTATTCTGGTTGAACTCTTCATTAGCTAAAAATGCAGGTTCTTGGGAAGCATCGTGAGCCAGCTGAACCCCATTTTCAGCAACATCCATGTCTCTTTCTGAAGAAGCTGAAGAGAAAGATTCATGACCAGGTCCTTGACCACCGGTGGGGGAATGAATGTCGGCAGTGGAGTTGGGCAAACTTAGTTGCCTGTCATAAGCCAGACTTTCACACTTGATGATTTTGTAGTCTTTTGAGGTTTTTGCAAGAGCATTTAAGTGCAAACCAATTCCAGGTAAGATGCACCGTGAGGATTCACCACCGGGTTTCATAGGAACTAGTTGCTTATCATTTGTGGTGATTTTTTCATCAGATTGAGATAGCATATTAGAACTACTGTTTGAAACATTATCTAAACTCTTCCTGCGAGCTCCTGCCATCTCAAAATCTAGACAGCGCCTTCGCAAGCCACGTTGCAAATTTAAAACAGCAGGCTGATACACAAACAGAGAAAACACTATTAGTACAACCAAAGAAGTAAAATAAAAAGGTAATGAAAACGATATAAAAAAAAAGTCACAACTCTTTAGAATCAACAAGAGAAAATAGATATTAAAGAGGACTATCAAGATGGCATAAATGTTCCGCAGGAGGGTAACCAGAAAATACACATAAAATTAGAACAAACAACGTACAACTCTTACCATACAACCTACAGGAGTAGGCTACCTTTTTTTTTTTTTTTTTTTTTTTGGGTCAGAACAGGAGTAGGCTACTTATTCATTATATCTATGCAAATGTTACTGAAATGTGGGTGATGGAACCTTGTTGCATACTATACCTTACAATTGAACTGCATGGGTGTTTCCACTTTATTATCTTCTTTCTCACTTTGACTGCTAACCATACAATGATTTAAATGGCCCTCCATCTGTTCTGTTCTTTCCAGCTGACTAGCTTCTCCATATTGAGAGGAAGGATCTTCAGTTTCAAGTTGTCCGCCAGAACCAACTATATCAAGGACTTGCACATTTTGCTCATCATTAACATCATTTTGCGTGAGCTGCGGCGCAAGAGAAGTACAAAATCTTGTTACAGGGTCCAGAGAATTCTGCATTAGCCCCTTGAAAGCCTCTGTGCCATTGGGGGAATCAAAAATTAACAGGTCAGCAGCATCAGAAATCAAACTCTCCCAATCACAGCCTGTCACTTCTTTTCTTTGCACAGTCTGGCATATAATCTGTAGATGTCCTTCATCATTGGATGAACCTTCTTCAGAGGTCTTTTGAACATATGGAACAAGTGGAGCGGACAAGTCGGCCACTTCCAACTCACAATGTGCCTCAGTACCACAACGAGTTGGGTCACAGTCAGGGCTACCACAATCATATTTCAAATTCCGTGGTAGCTCAATTACAAACTTTGAGTGTTCACTAGATGGCTCTACAGAATCTTCTCCTGTAGAAACCCCTGGAACACAATCTTCGCGTAGCTCTTCTGAGTTAATATAAAGTTGAGCTGCATCTTCATTTGCAGAGACTTTATTTCCACTTGCCAGAGTGGACTCAGGTTTTGACGGATCTGAAGTGTTATGCCTGAAAACAAAAAAAAGTATAATTTACTCAAAGAATAAGGTAAAAAAGAAAGGTGCAAAGAAATACAGCAGTGAATTACCTCCTGAGGAATCTGGATTCCTTGTGAGCACTGACATGGGGCGAAGTGAAAACAGATGGAAGGGATGCAAAACTGAGGGAGCTGAACGTCTGAGTAATATGTACAGACTTAACTGGCTTGATAGGAGAAAGACTATTGATGTAGTTAAAGACAGGAGAATCCTGCACATGAGGAACACAATTCTTCTTAATGAAAAGAATTACATACACACAGCAATAGGAACATAATATCTTGACTAAATAGAAACTAAAATGAGACGGGTTTTCAATACAAAATTAATATATAAACTCTATTGCACCACCAAGAAAGTAAAAGAACCATCCGCATATCCTCAAGCATCAACAATAGGAGAGGAAAAACAAACATACACCTATCAAGCAAATAGTTGACCACAAAATCTGGCAAAAATGAATGCTCTACAATCATTATCTTCAAATTTCATGAAGATGCATTTATCAGATCTGTTAATAACTTTTCTGAGTCTGGTTGACCAAATTATGGCTTCTTGTAACATAGAATGAAGTAATAAATGGCTAAAAAATCTTTTTTTTTTTATAAAAAAAGTGGCTCTAAAAGAAATCGTGTTAGCAATATATTGAATCTTACATAAAAGAAAAACATTTCAAAATAAATTCCATTACTTCTGTTTACAAGCAAAAAAGGTAAAATTTATAAAAATTAGGCCTGAACAACAATCTCAAGTCTCAAAATAAGCTTTCTAAACAAATCATATTACAAGAGACTTGCCGAAGCCAATTAGTGACAATTAAACTCAATTTGAGATCTAAATCACAAGATACCAAAACCCACATAAAGCAAACCAATTTTCCAAAACAAAATTAAAAGAGGGAAAGAGGACAACAAATTATCTAAAACGAATTATCACTGTAATCTTTCTAAGGACATCCAATTGACCACCTAAAAAATATATATGAGTCCTGATCCAGCTGAAAATGAAAGATTAAACCACATGCAGTGATGCAGAGCAACACCCCATGAACCAAAAAGAAGGAAGGGAAAAAAAAAATGCCTCAACCTTCTCAAAAATGCACAAGCTTGAGAAACACCAAGGCAAAAAAACTCAAAAACAAAACAAACCCATTTCAGCGACAACCTTAAAATTTTGTTTTGAAAAAATGCCTAGGTCAACCTTGTCAAAAATGCACAAGCTTGAGAAACACCAAGGCAAAAAACTCGAAAACAAAACAAACCCAATTCAGCAACAACCTTAAAAAAAAAATATATATATAAAAATGCCTAGAACCTTCTCAAACCTGCACAAGATTGAGAAATACCAAGGCAAAAACTTCAGAAACAAAACAAAACCCAATTCAGCAACAACCTTAAATTTGAAAGAAAAATAAAACAAGAAGAAGAAGAATAAGGAATTGACCAAAAAAAAGAAGAAGAATAAGGAGAACAAGAAAATGGGCACAAAGGCTGACCTCAAATTTGGCTTTGGGAGTGCCGATCTGGTTCCTCTCTGGGGTGTCCATTTCCAGAGAGGCAGCTCCACCACAAGCCCTCTACCTCTACTACTTCATCCGCCACTACCACTACCACTACCACTACCACTACTTTCTCTCTCTACTTTTTGGCAGTGAATATTTGTTCTTCTCTCTAGATTGTAAAAAGGAAAGACATGGTGAGGTGGGTCACTTGACTGGGTCTGCTCTGCTGCAAATAGGTTGAGATTCAAGTAGAAGTGAAGGCGGGAGAGTTAGAAAGGAGTAGCTATGGATTTTCTCGTGGGGATAACCTTGACCCTACCACCAAAGCCCCACAGTCTCCACAGCTGTCCGTATGTATATATGTTTGCGTTTTCTCACACCCACCCAACTTTAAAAAAAGGTAACGTACATTTTACTGTGTATGGATTTTCTCAATCTTTCTCTTTCTTTCTCAGTTTCTCTCTCTCTCTCTCTCTCTCTCTCTCTCTCTCTCTCTCTCTGTGTTTTTTTCCTCACAGGGTAGACTCTGTACCCTCACTCATTCACCTCCGCTTCCCTCCTCCTCTGGTCTTTGGTCTTTGGCCTTTTGGGTTTTTATCCTTTTTATATTAATTGCTTTGGTTTGCATTCTTTTCTTTTCTTTTTACTGCTTGACTTTGTAAAGTGTAATACTTGTCCCTTGAGTCTTTGACTATTTTGCCTATGTTGAAGTAAATTGGCAAATCTAAGTGGTTTTGGCCTTCGGTTGCAGTCTATGCCAATAGAATTACTTTAACTTGTTACATCCTTAAGAGAATAACCAACCATTTTGTTTTCACAAGGTTAAACCCAACAATATATTTCCATTTTTTGTGCAAATTGCATGCTCATTAAGGGTTAAAATCGTTATTTCAACATCTGACACGTGGTTAAAATTGTCTATTTATAAAAGTCAGTGAATGTGAACTTAATTTCTCATATATTGCTATTAATTACTCAAATATTTGCCGTATCTTAAAGTGATTTGTTTGGATTGTAACGGCCGGTTCTCATAATTTCATATCCTAAGACGATTTAGTAAAATGGGCCCCTATTCTCTAATACGTAACGGCCGGTTCTCATAATTTAATATCCTAAGGCGATTTGTAATGGGTACACATCATTGTTTTAAGACCATAAGGAAATGATGTATACCCCTTACAAAAACAATTGGATGATAACCATGACTAATAACCCTTAATATAAAACAAATAACAGCAAGGCAAAGCAGCATTAATCTTGAACCGATGCAACATTTATAAGGTAAACAGTGACTATGAAAAATCCCGTGAATTTTATTAATGAGACTTATTATTGGTCCCTATTTACGTTTTGTCATTATGTTCTCATCATGTTAGTCGATATTACTTTCTTACCACCTATGGATAACACTGGAGCCAAATCTTTGTCGTATATATGCAAAAGGGCTTTTTGGAGAATGTACAAGTAATTTAATATTTCTTAGCATTTACTCTACCGTTAGTTTTGGTGACTGGCGTAACGACAGCGAGAGGCAATGTAGTTTTGGCGCGCGGAGATTTCGAAAGGTAGGTGATTCGCTAGGTTTGAGCTCCATCACACTCCATGGATCCTACCCTAGAAACTTTCCTACGGTTTTTAGTTGAAATATTTATGCCGATATTCCCCAAACACAAAGGAACATCAACATGAGACATTGCATTGTTCGTTGGCCCTTCACATCGAAGGGGAAAATCAAACCTTCTCCGGGTCCCACGAAGCAAATCGATATCGATCGGTGAGACATGAGGACACGTGTACGGTGCGATCAAGGTCCCTGTCATGACTTTTTACATTAATGTCACACTTGCAAGTAAGGTAGCTAAACTAAAATGTATATTTATAAGATTAGAGGAGCCTCATAATGTGTTCACCTTTGGACTTTACCACTTTTACAAAGTTTGGTATGCAATAGGGTGGACCTTTATTAGGAAGCATGTGGTCCCATGAACAATAAAGGGGCAATGTCACGTGACACCTCACCCCACTAATTTTGGGTTTTTTTCCTTTTCTCCGTTTTTTTTTAATAACCTTTTCTCTTTTTTTTTTTTTTTAAAATTAAAATTATTTATTTATTTTAGGGTTTGGCCCTTTGCAGAAAACCTAGCAGCTGGTTAAGCACATAATGACACAATCTGCTCTTTCCCAACTCCCCACATTCTCTGAAAGAGGAAGTTCATGCGAAATCATAGTGTCTACTACATGCGTACTTTGTGGCACACATTCTGCATCCATCTGGCGATAAGGAAGGAGGCTTCTTTTTCTTTTTTTCTTTGGGTTTTATTATTTCTTATTATTTGTTGATTAATTATTGACTGACACATGCAAATAGTAATTAGGTGGTGATTAATTATTTCAAGTATGATGATGACCTTTTTTTTTCTTTGGGTTTTTTTATTTATTATTATTTGTTGATTAATTATTGACTGACACATGCAAATAGTAATTAGGTGGTGATTAATTATTTCAAGTATGATGATGACTTGTTGTGATTTGGAGGATTCGAGTAAAGTCTTTGGAGAGCCCTTTGGTTCAGGCCTTAGTGAATTGTCAGATTGTGGGTTATTAGAATAAAGCTGGGTTGACCCAAATACTTAGGATTTTAATTCTTAATTATTGACCTGGATGCTCTTGTAACTGGCAAGTGACCAGGAGAAGATTCAGAAAATTAAACTAATTATATAATTACTCCATTTTATTTTATGTGAGGTTAATTTTTTTCTTCTTTTTTTTTGGTGCAGAACGCAGATCAGATCTTGTGGAGTGAGCTTTTGGCAGGAAGTGTTTGTTAATTAATTAATTTTATCCTGGGACGGGAAGGAAGAAGGCTCTCTCAGTTGAGCTGGGATATCCTTGTAGCTTTTATGGATTCTGGATGCCTTTTGTTTTTCTCTGTGTTATGTAGCACAAACAAGTTTTCTGCTGACAAACGTGTAACACCATTTCCCCATCTATTTTTTTACTCTCTCTCTCTCTCTCTCTCTCTGCCAAATAAGCATTCCAAGAAAAAAATTACTAGGTATATTGGAGTTTGGGTATGGGAGGACAGATTTGCACGTTACCCTCCTACCATATCAATGGGTTGTGGTCATCCTTCTTTTTAGCTCAAAGTGTGGATGGATTTCATTTGACCTTTGTGACGCCCTTTGTATGTAGTGTAGCCATGCATTCATCACTTGTGTTCTTCATTCGATGAGTTTCGGTTTTTACTTTGGTTCAGCTGAGAGGCCGAAGTTTAGACGTAATTGTAGGAGTACATGCTCTACCCTTAAAATTGTACGGGAGTTCATAGCTCAAATGACTAAGAGGATTCATCAATTTATCCGAGATTCTATGTACAATTTCCAGTTTTTGTACCGAAAGAAGGTAAATAAATAAAGTTCATAGGATTTGGACCTATACTAAGTCGGGTTAAGCTAGGCCCAAATAATAACATCAAACTTTGGTAGAAAATAAACAAAAAGAGCCCCAAAAACAAAGAGATATTTAGTCATATATCCATTATTAGAACTCCCAAAAACAAAGAGATATTTAGTCATATATCCATTCTTAGCACTAATAATATAGATAAACCCTACACCATTTAATTTCTATAAACAAACAAAAAAAAAACTCAAAAAATGACAGTTGGCCATATTGAATTTAATTTTGATTATTAAATTACTTTGATGCCTTATTGAGTGTTTTAGATAAATCCTACACCATTTAATTTCTATAAACAAACAAAAAAAAAAACCCAAAAAATGACAGTTGGCCATATTGAATTTAATTTTGATTATTAAATTACTTTGATACCCTATTGAGTGTTTTGGGGTTGGGTTTGTTTTAAGAAATCAATACCAGTTTTGTAATTTAAAAGAAGCTAAAAGTCTTTTGTTATGTTGTAAATGGGTTTTAGGTGTTTCTAAAGTCTATTTTATATAGTGTTTTTTTTTTATAAATAATTTGGGCTTCCATATTGGGTATAATAGTGAATCTCCCAAAAACAAAGACTTTGAGCTAAAAAAGCCAATTTAGGAGGCCCAACATAAGTTTTTTTTTTTTTTTTTTTTTATAAAGGAAAACAAAATAAACTACAACCGGAAGCCACGCGGGCACGCAGGCCCCACCAAGTCAAAGTAAAACGGAACCAAACAACTTAGAGGAAGCCCACGATCCCACAGCCGGGAAGGGGCAAGATTATGGCCTAAACTAGCAACTGCATCTGCAGTAAAATTAGCCTCCCGAAAGATGTGCTGAAAAGAAATCTTCTCGCAATAAAAACTCAGCACCGGAATGTCTTGCACAAGGAGACTAATGCTCCAAGGAACCGAAACCACATTGTTGACACAATCAATGATTAGCTTTGAATCACCTTCCACCAGGATCTTCCTCCATCCATTATGAATAGCATGAGCCAGGCCATCCCGAAGAGCCAAACACTCCGCAACTGTAATTGCCAACAATCCTAACATCTTTGGATTTTCTTATGATATGTTTAACAAATTATGTTCATAAAATAGTTGTTGTCCAATGATTTAAGATTCAACGACTCTTTTCTATGTTTAGAATATCTTGGTCTAATAATCATGCTCTGATTAACTATCAATTATTGTTGTGTTCTGACTTCTGTGTTTGCTTCCCAAGCTCTCATCGAATTGTCATATTCCTTGGAGGCTATTGAAGGAAACTGCAAAATGCCTTACACCCAAAACAGACATGAGCCAGGCGAATGTTTTCATGAATCCATCCAATGCACCATGTAACTTAGCTTAGCTACTTTGTTTAGTCGGATCAATTAGGTTGGCAGGCTGCTTCCTGTTTCACTTCAAATATGTTTGTAGTTGTTGTCGGATGTTAACACCATTGCACAGTTGGACTACATGTTTGTCATCACTTGGCAAAGATTGCCAAACATGCATTACTTTGCTCCAAATATTAATCTACTTTACGATGTAAATTCATAATTCAAACATTTCAATTTTTAGGTCCATATTCAAAGATCATTTCTAGAAAAATGCCGTATTCGTCTATTTATTAAGTCACATATAGATAACTAAACGTTCTTCGATTTAAGCAAATTTTTGTAGAAATACTCTTTCAATGGTAACCTGACAAATGAGCGAATAAAATATGTCATTCTTCTAGGAAAGCACTCCATTTCATTGTTGTAATCACTGAATTTTCATTTGAGGGGCTTTGTAACACAATGTGGAATTAAAATGCCAAAAAAGATTAATACAGTTTTCTCTTTTACCGGCCACAAATTTTGATGACACATTAAAACTATGATTTTGTAACCACATCCACATCACATGTCCATTTGCGCTGC